CTTGGGCTGACCTCCGCCCTCTCCTCCGGGCCAGCAATCCGGTTCCCAGGCCCCCTAGCCTTGGGGTTCCCTTAGGCTCCTGGCCACAGTGACCAGAACCAACAGAGCCTGAAGGCGGGGGCCCGAGAGGCCACCAGCGGCCAGGCCAACGCAGCTGCTCTGGGCCTCCAGCCTGTGCGGGGCTGGCATCTTGCATGCCTTACAGAGGGGCCTCCCAGCTCCAGCCTGGAAGCCTCACCTCTGCCACAGGCCCTCAGCCACCCAAGGCTGGTCCCCTGCCAGCCTAGGACCATCAGAAGGCAAAGGAGCAAGGGAGGAAAGAGCATCCACAGAAGTGAGGCATGGCAGGACACACCCATAACCCCAGCACTTGGGAGGCTGAGGCAGGAGGATCGCCATGAGTGAGGCTGCCCACTCTGCCCTCTGAGGCTTGGGTTCCTCACCTGGAAGATGGGGCTGACCTCTCGCCCAGCTGCTTCCTGGGTGGCTCTGGGGGTGCTGTGCTGATTACACTGAATTGCTGAGGCCACTCAGAGATTCCAAGGGCAACCTTCACACATGCACCCCATGCTGAGCCCAGAGTAGCTGGGCATTTTACAGGGATGACACAGCTGGGGGGCCGTGTAACCTGGTGGGCAGGCGTCAAGGCCTCGAAGCCCCATGGCCAGGCTGAGCAATGCGAGGCTGTCACTCAACCTCTCTGATCTCGGGTTCTGAGCCGCAGAATGGGGAGCAGTAGCTGACCTGACCTGGTGTGGTTACCATGGAGACTGAGCAAATGCGTGTACACTGAGCTCTGTGGAGCACGAGGCCAGGCCCGGGTGTCACCTACAAAGACTGGAGCCACTACCATCCCCGTTATGCAGAGCAGGAAACCTCAGAGCCTGGCTGGTCTGGCTCAGGAGTTCGGACGGCTGGGGCTCCGGCTGCGTTTCCCCTGCTCGTGTCCCACATCCAGAGACGGCCAGTGCGCCACTAGGCTGTCACCCAGGGTTGAGCTGGCCTTGTCCTAGCACCTGCCCCTCCTAGGACTTCAACATCCCCAGATGGTGTGGGAGGCCAGGAAATCAGGAGGGACCCCGCCTCGCTGCACCTGCCTCCCCCGAGGACCCCACTGCACCCAGCCACCTCCGTCACAGCTCGATCTGGCCCCAGGGCCTTTGCACGGCACCTCCCCCCAAAGGCATGAGAGGCTCCTGCTCATCCCGCCCCCTTGGCCAACTTTTGGTCCTCCTCCCCGCGTACAGTAATTTTTCTGTATAACTTGTCATGTTTCGTATGAGTCAGGGTTCTCCTAAGACACAGGAAAAGCAGGGTGGGTAGATAGAAAGACAGATAGATAAGTAGGCAGAGAGGTTTCTCCCAAGGAGCTGGGTCACACCATTCGGGGCTGGGAAGTCTAGAGTCCCAGTCCCCACCCCGAGGCTGAGGCCCTGGCCCACACGGTGTCTCCTTCACTTATTTCTCTCTTCTCATAAATATGTGAATTCCGTGGCTTGGGTGTCTTGTCCGCAGCTGTGTCCCCAACACCCTGAGCAGCACATGTGGAGTCGGTACTGATGAAGTGTTTGTTGACTGACTGAATGAGCAGATAGAAGCCTCCTAGTGAATGTGGCAGGTGCTGCCCATGATGGCTGCATGACCACTGTGGCTCCCACCTTATTCTCCGGTGGCTCACCCTGAGGGACACCAGCACCACAGTGCGAGGACAGCCGGGCGGGGAAGTCACCACCCTGGAAGCAACTGTGCCCCCAAGCCAGAGCCCTGGAAGCTTTTGAGCTTTGGCCCACTACACAGAGGGGAAATCGAGGCCCCAGAGCCCATGCCCAGGTCAGGCGCCAGTGAGCAGTGGGTCTAGGATTCAAGTCAGGTCGCTGGGAAGCGGGGCCCATGAAGGGCACAGGGACCCCCTGGAAGGACAGGCCCTGTATCCCTGGAGGTGTCCGACTTGCAAGGGCCCTTCCTGGGGCACTTCCCCGTCCCTTCTCACTCCTCCTCGAGGGCCTAGGGTTCTAGAGTGTGGCGTCCCCAGCCTCTGCTCCAGGATGGGACCAGACTGTATGCCCAGGCCCCCTTGGCATCCGTGTGGCCATGTGACTGAGTTCCGGCCAGGGCAGCAGAGCCAGGGACTCGGGGCCTGGCTCTTGAGCCTCCGCTGCCCTGGGCTTTCTGTGATGTGGAGATGGAGAGGCTTCCCTGGTAGCTGCCCAGACTCTGGGGCTGTGTGTTATGAAGCATCGGCTCAGTAGGAAACACTGCCTGATGCAGGAGCAGTGAGCTCTCTCGAGAAGCCACTGAAGGGCCAGGTTGTGTTTTCTGCCTGTCCTCAGCGGATTACAAAGGACTGCCTGGGCCAGAAAGAAGAGAAGCAGGCGTGGGTGGCCCTGGCCGTTGCCTGCCTCCCAGCATGGTCCAGCGTTCACACAGCATTTCACAGGGACAACAGCGCATGCAGAAGACAAGGGGAAACTGAGGCTCAGAGATCATGAGGCAGGAGACCAGGTGGAGCTGGGGGCTGAGCACCTGTCTCATCCAAGTCCTGTGAGCCAGGGTCTCGGGGAACTCAGGGCCGCTCTGTCCTTGGGGTGCCAGGCGGGCAGGTGCAGGAAAGAGTGAGTCCAGGAGGAGGCTCCGGGCGGTGCAGAGGACCTGGCCCCCAGGCGCAGCCTGCCAAGCGAGCCCCGAGACAAGTCCAGCCCGGGGAGGCAGCGGAGCCGGTCCACACCTGTAGGACAATTTGCTTTGGCAGCAGCAAGGAAGGAAAAATTCCAATTTGTGTTCCGTGGGACTCCTTTGAAGTTATTTATGGAACGGTCCACTCCTGGGTGGCAGCAAGGCCTGGGGCCACGCCAAGCCCTGCGGGCGGCCAAGCAGGCCAACCAATGATCAGCGCATCACCACTCTCAGCCCAGACACAGCTGTCTTCCCCCGCGTCCTCCTCTGTGAGCCGCTCCTGCAGGTCAGGAGGGGCTGGGGTGAAGCCCCTAGCCAGGGCCAGGGCCCCATCTGTCGCCTGAGGGGAGGGTCCCCACTGGCTGGAGGAATCCCGGCCAACTTCCTGGAGGCCAAGGCCCATGGTTAGTGCTGCCTGGACAGTAACAGCTAAGGCTGCCAGGGTTGCGTGCACTCCCAGGGTTCAGGCTCAAAGACCCTCTCTGTCTGAAGCCACGAGTTTGGGCACGGCCTGTCCCAGAGAGTCCTGGATGGAACCTGGGGCCATGGTCCCGGCTGTAACAAATCACGTCGAACGCCAGGGCTCAGAACAGCAAAGTTCTGGGGCACAGGGCAGAAACAGATGCCCAGTCTGGAACCAGGTGTCTCCAGCCTGGATCACAGCGTCCCCGGGACTCAGGCTCGGGATCCACCCCAGTTTTCCCACCTCTGCTCCTGTGGCTGCATCTCTGCCTCTGACCTCTGCTCCCCCCAGCCTGTAGCCATCAAGTGATGACTGGGCTGATCATCTGGATCATCTCGGCTCTCTGAATCTCCAAATCCCTGGCCTAACCCAGGCCCTCTGCCCTGGGGGCAGCACACACAGACGTCTCAGGGCTGAGCTGTGACCTCTAGGGCAGTATGACCTCCAGCCCCTGACATCACGGCCACCATTGTCCCGGGCTTCCGGTCTCCGCTTGCTCCATGCTGGAACCAACGTATGGATCCTCCGCCACTCTGTCTCATCGCATCCACTCATGGACTAAATATTAACTGCACACCTACTGGGTGCCGAGCCAGTTTTCAAGGCACTGGACATGCAGCAGCAACCCAGCCAGGCAGGCTTTTTATCTGCACAACGCTGATCAACACTCAGTGCTGTAGAGAGAGAAACTTCAGCTGAAAGCAGCTTGAACAGTGTCCTTTGTTATTTCCCACGGTGAGTCAGGAGGAAGGGAGCTGGGAGTTCAGCCGATTGATGCCATTGCAAAGGTCCTTCCGTTTTCCTGGTTTCCTTGGTTTGGTTCTCATCATAAATGTCCTCATGTCCACAAAAGAGCTGCCGCTGCTCCAGCTAATACAACCTGACACAGTAGCCAATGTGTGAGGAACAAGAAACCTTTCTCCAAAGCCCACTGCACCCCTGCACTCATGAATTAGACTTGAGTACCAAGCCCTCGCCTAAGTCACCCCGTAAAGAAAGTGGGGTAACAGCAGTAGCCTGAGAGCCCTCAGGATTCCCCTCAGAGCATGGAAAGGAATAGACCCTCTGCTAAAGTCAGGGTCCCCATAACAAGAAAGAAGGGAACCCGGTGGCTGGGGTTCAGATCCATTTCTGCCATGACGCCTCTGAGTAGCTTGGGGTCTCAATTTCCCTGTCTGTAAAGTGGGTGCAGCAGTGGAGCCCGGCTCACAAAGCTGAGTCAGGATCACCTGTCCACTGGCCAGGGGGACACAGCTTCCATCCTGTTCTGCTGCGGCCTCAGAAGACAGGAAACCGGCAGCTGCTACAGAAAGCAGCTCCCCAGACCCTACCCGAGAGGCGGGACTGAGGGCTCAGGGAGCTTCTGTCCCTGTCACTGGACGTCCCCAGCGTGGCCACACCGGGCATCCCCAGAGTGGCCAAAATAATGTGCGGAGTGCTTACTAAGAGTGGGGTGCTGGGCTAAGCTCTCCGCTCGGGGGGACCCTGCTCACCTTCCCTTTATCAGCCACGGCAGGGCAGAGCCCTCGGACCAGGGCACGGGGAGCACAAGTTGGGAAAAGGGACTCGATGAGTGACCGGAGTGCAGGCACCATGGCCTGCAGGCCATGCCTGGCTCAAAGCTGCAGCCGTGGCTGCCAGTTACCAGAATAATAGGGTAAGCCGGGCATGGCAGCCGCCCAATCTCAACACTGAGGAGGTGGAGGCAGCCCCCCATCCGCTCACGTAGGGAGACGCTGCCTCTAAATAAATAAAAAGGGCTGGAGCTGGAGCTCAGTGCAAAGGCCTTGGGTTCAATCCCAGGACCACAAATAAGATAAAAATACACAGTAAAAATGGACAATTTCATGTCATTTATGTTTATCACAATTTCAAATAAAGGAAGGAAGACAGGGAGGCAGGGCCGCATTGTCCCCAAATGCAACACCATCCCCGGGGGGCAAGGCCTGGCCTGAGGGCCCCAGGGAGCCTAAAGGCGGAGGGAACCTGGCTCACCCTGGGCCAGGCCGGGTGCCACCCTGAGGTCATGAGCAAGGCCTGGCCCTGTGTGCAGGGCCGCGCTGCTGTCCAGCCGCCCAGGCCACGGGACTCGGACTGGGTCCTCCCCATCCCAGTGCCAGTGCTCGCCTTCCTCTAGGGGCTCTCAGGAGGCAGCAGATGGCCATGGTGACAGCAGGCAGTGTGGGGGAGTTCAGGCCTGAGGAGGGAGAGGCTGCCCGGGCCAGCTCTGTGCCTGAGGATAGGTCCGGACAGAGGCCAGGGGCCAAGAGGAGGGGCCAGCTGGAAAGGTGGCAGCCCTGGGCTCACCCTCTCCCTCCGAAACCTTGCCACCCCAAGGCACAGACCCCACCACCCAGGGATGGGCACCTCTGCTGTCCTGGGTGGGCTGGGCTCCCAGGAACGTGGGACTCCGCTGCCCAACAACCGCAAGACCGAATGTCCGGGCTGATGGCGGAGGGAACGCGACATGGCTGAAGTGACCGGGCCCTTCCCTGTCTCAGGGAGGGCAGCTCCCGCTTCCTGACACCCTGGAGCTGGGGCTATGGGAGACAGAGGCCGGAGGTGACTGGGCCCTTGGAGAGTCACAGGGTGCAGAGGATGGCGGGGCGGCTCTGGCTAGCTCCAGGCCCACTCCGTACATCTCGTCTTTCCGCTTTCTTGCCGATGATCCTTGATGCACAGATTTTAGAAATGAGGACCATGAGGCTCAGAGAGGCAAAGGGACTTCTGGGATCACACAGCGGGAGAGAAATCCAGTTAGGATCAGAACCCATGTTTACTTCTAAAGCCCAGGACACCAGGTGCCCAGGTGAAGGGCTGTGGGCTTCAAGTGGCCGGAAGGTCCACTCCATGGCTTTAGTAGGAAGACAGGGGCAGGGCGGGCTGCTAGTGATGTTCCCAGGAACCCTGAGTCTTCCCACCTCTTTGCTCTGCATCCTTGGGGGTGATGCCACCTGCAGGCTGAGAACAACAGGAGGAACAGCAGGGGCGTCTGCTCCAGGCTAGAATCTAGGGAAGAAGTAAGACCCTTCCTAGCCATGAAGGCAGAAGGGCTTTTTCAGAAGTCCCACCCCAGAAGATTTCCCCACCATCTTATTGGCCAGAACTGAGTCACATGCCCAGTCCTAATCCAATCCCAGAGAAAGAGGCTGGATTGCTCTCAGACCAATCAGAGCTTTCCCTGGACCCTCAGGCCAATCACACCTTTCCCTGGGTTCTCAGACCAATCAGAGCTTTCTCTGGACCCTCAGGCCAATCAGAGCTTTCCTTGGGCCCAGGGCAGGTTCAATTGAGGCTGACTGCTTAGGTGGAAGAGGCAGGACCCCCACACAATTGGGGGAGTTGTGCTAGTAAGACCCAGCAGTACTCACCTGCCAGTCTTTCCAGTAGTATGGGTCTATACTGCCAAGGCCACCTGCAGTGAGTTTCAGTGGTGAACTTGTAAGTTGGCTTAGGATGATGCTTTTTAATAATTAGTTTTTATCATAGTCATTAGAAGTGTTTTGGTACTAGGTACCTAGGGCTTTCACACTGAGCTCCACCCCTGGCCCTTTTCTACATTTTTATTTTGAGACGAAGTCTCACTAAGTGACAAACTTGCCGAGCCTGGGATCAAACTTGAAATCCTCCTGCCTCAGCCTCCCAGAGTGCTAGGATTACTTAGGCATCCGCCTCCATAGCCGGTTTATTATAACCTTTTCTTTGTGGCAAATGGTGTGGTTTTCATTTATGATAGCTGTACAATTTCCTTTTGAAATGAAGTTTCAAATTCCTTTTTGAAATGGGTGTAGCTCAGTGGTAGAGTCCTAGCATGCACAAGGACCTGGGTTCCTTCCCCAGAAAAAAAGGAAGGAAGGAACGAAGGGAGACAGGGAGGGAGGGAGGTTGGTTGGTTCAGGGTCCCGAAGCAAAACAGCCATGGTGGCACATATTTGTGTCCTGGCAGCCTAGGAAGCTGAGACAGGAGGCCTTCCACAGCCCAAAAGTTTTAGGCCAGCCCAGGCAACCTAGAAAGACTCTGTCTCAAAAATAAATAAAAGAACTCAGAAAAATTAACTCTAAGAAAAAAAAATAGTCCAGTCAATAAATAGGCAAATTAATTGAATACACGCTTCTCAAAAGAAGTACAAAGGGCCAGTAGGTATACTTTTTAAATGTTCAACAGTTTTAGCCATTAGAGAAATGCAAATCAAACTAAACTGAGATTTCACCCCATGCCTGTCAGAATGGCTGTCGTCAACAATAAGAAAATGCCAGGGTGGGGATTTAGCTCAGTGGTTCCACTGCCTGCCTCGCAAGTACAAGGTCCTCAGTTTGAACCCTAGTACCAAAAAAAAAAAAAAAGAGAGAAAGAAAGAAAGAAAGAAAGAGAAAATGCCAGTATTCCTACCACTTGGGGGGCTGAGGCAGAAGGATCTCAAGTTCAAGCCCTGCCTGGGGAACTTGGGAAAACTCTGTCTCAAAATAAAAATAAAAAAGGCTGAGGATGCAGCATAGTGTGAAGGCCCTGGGTTCCATCCCCAGTAACATACAAACGCAATGATCCTGCCCAGAGGTGACTTTGTACAAAGTGAGGGGGACACCCCGAGGCCCGGTGGACAGCAGCAAGCCCTGGGCGGACAGTGCTGCTCCTAAAGATCACACCTAGGTTAAAGTTCAGCAAGAGATTAATGACTGCTAGCCAGTGGAACGCGGAGAACAACTCACTGTGATAAAAGTCGCCCAGAGTGCTTTCTCTCCCCGGGGTCCTGACAAACACGAATGTCTTGGGGAGGTCACTGAAACTGCAGAAAATGAAACCACGGATAAGGCCGGTGACTGTGCTGAGACTGAAGGAAATACTTTGGGAAACAGCAGCCGGGTGAGGCGGCGCACTGCAATGCCAGCTGTGCAGAAGGCCGAGGCAGGAAGATTACAGTCCAAGCCCAGTCTGGGCAACTTAACAAGATCTCAAAATAAAAACAAAAAGGGCTGGGGCGTAGCCCAGTGGTGAGGCACTTACCAGCGTGTGTCAGGCCCTGGGTGCCATCCCCAGGACTGCACGAAAAGGAAAACAGAAGGAAAGGGGAAAGAAAAAGGCAGTCTTGTGAATCCCAAGTGAATAGCCCTCAGGCATTTTGCAGAGTCCCTTTCAAAAACTGGGGTACAGAACAATGCAGGAAGTCCGAGTACAGCTTGTGCCCGGGTCCTCTCTGCTGAGGCAGGAGGGAGCCACAGCCAGCGCCTAGAGCTTCCCTCCTGCCCCTTCGGGGTCTACCCCACCCTCACCAAACTCTGCAGATCTAGCTTCTGTCCCTGCAGCGGACTTGTCTCTTCTCAAATTTTACGTAACTCTTGTTTCCCACCTGGCTTCCCTCACTCTGCATTGTATTTTCCTATTTGTATTGTTGCATATGGCTCACATTTTTGATAGCTGAATAGTACTCCACTGGGTGGAAACGCCACACCATGGTTACCCATTCAGGTAGCCCTCAGGTTGGTTCCAGTTGTTGGTAATTATGACTAATGCCACAGTGACCTCTGCACCCAGCCTCTCTGTGGAGACAGGTTTTGCTGCTCTTGGATCTGTGTGCAGGGTCATGAGACAGCCGTAGTTTCACGTTAGAAGCACCTGCCCAGCAGAGTCTTCCCAAGTGGCTGTGCCTGTTTGCATCTCGAAGCCAGGTAAGGGCCTCCCAGGGCCAGACACCCTCACTGGCAGTGTTACCAGCTTCTCTAACCCCTGCCCTCCTAACTGCGTGTAGCGTTTTCTCCTGAGGTTTCTCGAGGAGTCGTGAGATGGAGTGTGAGGAGTGTGTGCGTGTGGTGCTGGGGAGGGAACTCAGGTCTCATGCATGTAGGCGAGCACCTACCACTGAATTGCATCCCCAACCCTTTTTATTTTTTGAGACTGAATCTTGTTTAGTTGTCCTGGCTAGACTTGAACTTGAGAACCTCCTGCCTCAGCCTCCTGTGGAGCTAGGATTACAGGTGTGTGGCAACACACCGACTCATGGGTAGATTTCTCAGTGTGGAGGGTCTTGCCCTGGAGGCCTCACAGGTGACTTTGTGTAAGGCTCTGGGGGAGCCCGGGCCTCGTGGATGGCCAGGCCTTCTGGCTACAAGGCCCTGAGGCCAAAGGAGAGCCGGCCGCAGGGTGAAAAGGTCCAGGCTGGCTGGGCAGGGGTCAGGAGGCCAGAGCCCGTGGGGATGTAGGGACAGGGCCGTCCTGGGAGTCCTCATAGCCACTTGGGGAAAACACGTGTCTGTTTTGCTCTGGGCCCTGGTGGCCTGGGTAGGGGTCTCCTTCGATGCATACACAAGGGCCCTGGTGACCCGGGGTGACCACAGAGTGGCCTTGCCCCAGGGTCCAGGGGCTGTGCCTACGGACCCTGCCTCTGCCCAGGCCCGGGAAGCACCTAGTGCCCCTGCAGCCTGCACCGGGAAACCCTCTGCCTGCTGCCCGCAGCCTCACAGGAACCACAAGGTTGGCAGTGAGCTCTTGGGAAGTCTGTGCTGTCCCAATGCCCACGCTCTCCCAGGCAAAGTGCCCCTCCATCCTCCCTTCTTGAGGACCCTGCTGGGAGCCCTCTGTCAGCCCCACCATGGCATCGCCTGGCCCGGGGGCTCTGGCAGCCTCGGAATCCCATGGGCCTCTGTGCATTTGCCTTGTGAGTGAATGAATAAGACGGCATGTTTACCGAGCACCTACTAGCCGCCAGGCACTGTGTTCACGAAGATGCGCGAGTTTCCTTACGTAACTGAAAACAGCTCTGAGCCCCACGCTGTCGATCTGCCTACTCCACAGAGGGGCAGACTGAGGCACTCGCTACCTAGAGGACCAACCTTGCCTGGCACACACAGGCACGACATCTCCACCAGCTGGAAACCACAGCTATACAGGCAGGCAGAGTTCACGGGCAAATTAGTAAAATACCTTCAAATGGTGTTTGTTTCCCCTCGTGTTGTCGCGTTCTAATGACTGTTTATTTTCATTAGCATCTAATTCGTGTGCTCAGCCGCCCAGTGTGAGTGTGGGGCTAAGTGGCTCTGATCTTTGCTCCTCGGTGGGAGACTCACCATCAGCCCTAAGGGTCCCAGGGCCCCAGCTGACTGACGTTTGGTGGTGGGGGTGAGACTACTGCCCCCTGGGGCCCCTGAGGTCCCACTGGGCAGTGGGAGGCCTCTGAAGAGGAGCCCAGAGCCCTGCTCCCCTGCTGGAGCCTATGGTACCTCTCACAGGAAGTGGAGCCTCTAGCCCCTCCCACTGGAGGCGGGGATGTGAGCCCTCCCACAGGAGCTGGACCTGTGGTACCTCTCACCGGAAGTGGGGCGTGAGGCTCCTCCTGCCAGGAGGTGGGGTTTGAAGCTCCTCCCGCCGGAAGGTGGAGCATGAGGCCTCACTCCCTGAAAGTGACTGGCTCAGTGGCGCCACTAGGGATTCGCAGCTGGGCTGGGCTGAGCCTCGACAGGTGCTGGAGCTTCTGCCTTCCCTCTCCCGATTCGGCTGCCACGAGAGCCGCTAAGCCAGAGTCTGCAGGCGGAGAGGCCGGGTGGACGGAGGGAGAGGAGAGGCTTGGGGGACAGAGCGGGGGCCTAACTCACCCAGCTGAGCTGAGCCACGGCCTTGTCTGGAAGCAGGCTCCCTGCGGGCGCAGCAGGAGCCTGCGCTGGGGCGGGGCGGGGCGGAGACCCAGGGGCCAGCCCTTCGGACAGGCCAGAGACCCAGAAGGTGCGACGGAGGCAGAGACAACCACGGGCTGTGTCTGGGAGGAACTCGACCCCGGCGTGTGGCGCTCTGCTGCAGCAGGCCCCGCGCTGGCCGCCGACCTCGGTCTTCAGTGACGCCTCCATGCGGCCCTGCGGTCCTGCCCTAGACCTGCCCTTCCCTCCGCTGCAGGGCCACCGTCCCTGTCTTCTGACTGGCTGAACAAGGCCCGTGATCGGCCCCTGGCCCCCACTCCCTCTGCTCCTCACCTGCCCAGGACCGGCGCTGCCTCAGGACCCTTGCACGTGCTGTTCCGCTTCGGCGCGGCCTGCCTCTGTCCCTGGCCACATCCTGCCTCAGAGAGCTGCCCCTCCCGGCATTCTCCACAGAACAGCCCCGCCTCCCTCCCTCCCCTCCAAGCCGCTCCATCCAACTGGATCCAGGAGAAAATCTCCCCAGGGGAGTTGTCAAGGGGCAGCAGAGGAGCTGGCGCAGGCCCAGGGCAGGCAGGAGGGACAGCGCGGTGTGCTCACTCCACAGAGGGTGCGGCTGCCCCGAAGCGCTGGGTGGCCTCAAGGTCCCTGTCCCCAGGGTCATCTGTGTTCTGCGTTCTTTTCAGCACAGGAGGTTGAACCCAGGACCTTCGCACTGAGCTGCATCCCCGGCCGTTTTGTTTTTTTATTTTGAGATGGGGTTGGGTGGCCTCAAGGTCCCTGTCCCCAGGGTCATCTGTGTTCTGCGTTCTTTTCAGCACAGGAGGTTGAACCCAGGACCTTCGCACTGAGCTGCATCCCCGGCCGTTTTGTTTTTTTATTTTGAGATGGGGTCTCACCAAGTGGGCAAGTCACCCAGGCTGGGGCAACTTGGGGTCCTCCCGCCTCGGCCTCCCAGAGCGCGGGACAACAGCCTGACCGACCGCACTGACGTGTTTCACTTTTCAAACCGAGGGCGACGCACGGCACGCGTAGCCTTTGCGCACTTTGCATGCAGCTCCACCGGCGGAAGTCAGCGTTACCTTGGCGGCAGGGCCCTACCCAGTCTTCGCCCATGACAGTCACGGAGGGGTGGGGGAGGCCACACGGGACCCACGCAGTCCTTGCCCTCTGCGCTCCCACGACCTTGGCCACGTGAGCCCGGCCAGGGTCCCTGTCCTGACTGACCGGTGGGCTGGGTGACGGGTTTGGGATTGATCTGCGCTGGAGCCTGGGGACGGAGCGGGGCGGGGCTGGGGTCAGGCGCCTGCTCAGCTCTGCGCTTCAGAGGAGCAGAGGAACGCGGAAGGAGACAGCTGGGTGCCAGAAGCAGCGCCCTGTGCCTGTGGCACCCACAGGGGTGGCTGCCACGCACACCTGTGCCGCAGGGCCACAGCCCAGAGGGGACATTGGCAGGCTCTCTAAGTGACAGATGTTGTTGGAGAGTCTCTCTACCCAAAATTATGTGTGCTATGGATGCTTTCATCAGGGCCGCTCTGGGAGGTTGTATGGATTGTGCACTGCACAATTCAGGGACCTAGAGTTCCAGAGGGCCTTCCCAGATGGAGGTGCAGTACAGACGCCTTTGTTTTCCCCCTCGGCTGGAAAGTTCAGTCTCAGTCAGGTGAACCAAGGACCTTGGCTTGGGGCTGGGTTCTGTGTCTCTGTGGGTGAGTGGCACAGTCAGTTGGATGGTCACTGGCTGTTGCCCCCAAACCCCTCCTGAAGTTCTGGTTCAGCCTAGGGACAAGGAGGGCGCACAGAGAGAACCTCACTAGGAGACTCAGTGAAACGTGCCAGGAAGAGCCCTTGTCCTCACCCAGCAGAGCAGTCCCAAGGACAGAGACCCATAGACAGCATACATAGCCTCAGCTAAAAACCCAAGCCTGTGGCAGGCATCACTAATCGATCAAAATCTTCTTTTTCCTGGGCTCAGAGATCCAGGGGCTGGGGCAGGAGCAGCTTCTACCCTGGTGCTGTCACTGGGCACACATCTGCATCCCTACACCTTTCCCTGTCCTCTAAAAACTGGTGTGGCAGCCCCCATGGCCCCAAGAGGGGGCTCTGTCCCCTCCCACCTTCCTCAGCTCCCTCTGCCACTGCAGGTGCCCTCCTGCCCCAGGGCCTTTGCACAGCCACTCCCCTATGGCTTGGTATTTAGTTAGGGCTCTGTGGATGTTAATTGAATGAATAAGTGATCCTCTGACCACGGTGGAGAACAAGGTATTGGCACTGAGATTTTTCACATGAAGGGCCTGAGCTCCAGTGCACGCAGCTGTGCGGAGGTGCGGGGATGAGGTGGGCACTGTCCCCCCCAACAGGGCACGGCTTGGAAGAAGGCAGACAGCGGCACTTCGGCAGCATTAATCTGCCCTTGGGCTGCACTGGCCGGCTGCCAGCCAGGCGGGACTGTCACCATGATGGAAGAGGGCACCACTCACCATGGCAACAGGGCTGCGTGGGGGACCCGGCCTCCAGCCCCCGCACTGCCCTCGGGGGAACCCATGCCCTCTGCAGTCCCCGACCTGCAGACACGGATGGCGCGGTCCTAGACGCGGGCACGTCTCCCGGGTCTCTCTGACTACACGGATGGGGAAACTGAGGCAGGGAGTCAGCATGGGCGACTGGCGGGCAGACCCTGCGCTCTGTTTGGTTCGGGTGCCCAGGGCCAGGGTCTCAGGACGTTCACAGAGCAGTGGCTCTCGGGGGCCCTGCCACCACACACTGCCTGGTTCCAGGACCTTCTCTCCACCCTGGGGCCACCAAGCCGCCAGTCCCCATCCCACCTCTGCCAGGCCCTGTCGGCCCCCAGGCTGGGCTCTCTGTGTGTGCATTTATGAGCTCCAGAGATGTGGGGAGGCAGCGCCACTCGGCAGTGCTCCTCCATGCCTGGCTTTCCCCAGCGTTGCAGCCCGGTCATGTTCCCCCGTTTGTGGCTGTGGAGGGTTCCATCCTGTGGACGGACCCACCGCTCCTCTGCTGTCGTTGGAGGCCACAGCACGTGCGTCCCCGTGGGCAAGCATGGGTCCCGGTTCCTCCTGACACTGGGTCCCTGTCACAGCACAGGGACGGTGGGCCCCACGAGGAGGGAACCCACAGGCACAGGGTGCTCAGCAGAAGGACGCAGTCACCCAGTTCCCACCTGCGAGGTCTCCGGGGACAGGAGGTGGACGTGGGCAATGGTCACTCAGCAACACAGAGGTCAAGCCCTTAACAAAAGCCAAAGGGGTGAATTTCACAATATGCATATTTTACTTCAAGAAAAAAAAGTAAAAAATCCTTTACTCCCCACTTCCATGAACTGTTGTTTAGAATCAACCCTCAGTCTACCATGTGTTAGAAATTAAATCCACCTCCTGGGCCTGGGTGTGCCAGGGAGAGGCTGTGACCCATTTCTGGCCAGGAAATGGAAAGTCTGCTGGCAGCTTCTGGGAAAGACAAATCTCACTATAAAAATAAGGAGGAAACAGGAAGAGAAACTTGCTCCCATTTGCCTCCTACCTTTGGATATTGTATGACTAAGTGATGGCCGGAACTGTGGCAGCCATTTTGCCACCATGAGGAGAAAACCAAGTGACTCAGTACAGACATGACCTTCAGTATGATATTAAGGAACTGAGGTGCCCCTGGGCACCACCTCCCTCTCCATGCCCTCCTCAGGAGACAAGAAACAGCCTTCCAGTTGAAGCCACTGTTAGCTCAAGTGTGTTTCCTTGTAGCCAGTGGATTCCTGATCGCTTCAGTCCAACACTGCTCTACAGACCTGGCGTCATGGGCAGTGATGTGAGCTCCGTTTGCGGTGGGTGGTTAATTGGCACCGCGCCCTTGGGGGCTCTGGCCAGTGGAGCCCGGCTGTCCCCTAAGGTCAGCACCGCTGCCTAGACACTCAGCTCCCCCGAAACAGACCTGGGGCTCAGCTGTAGCCAGCTTCCCCGGCCTCAGTTTCCCCACTTCCATCCACAACGCAACTTCCCCCTCCTCCTCCTCCACCCCCACACAGGGTTCTCCACCTGTTCCCAGCCCAGGCCCAGGCTGCTTGCTTAAAAGAGAAAGCTAAGGGGAGCAGGCCTGTCATGCCAGCACTCTGGGAGGCTGAGGCAGGAGGACTGCAAGTTTGAGCCCAGCCTGGGGAACTTAGTGACTTAGTGAGACCTAGTGTCAAAATTTGTAAGAAGGCCTGGGGATGTAGCTCAATGCAAAGGCCCTGGGTTCAACCCTCACTGTCTGAAAAACAAAGAAGAAAGAAGGCGAAGCCAAGCCCGATGTACTGTGAGGACAGGCAGGCATGCAGCAGGCCGGAGCGGCAGAGCACGGGCCCTGGCCAGCGGGCACTGAATGCTGACCTCAGGAAGCCACCATCTGGGAACCGGGATCCAGCTCAGTCTCCGTAAAGGCAGCAGCTGAGTTACGTGGTCCGGGGTCAGTCACACCCCGCTGCCTTGGCCGAGACCCACTGCCCGTGGCGGGAGGGCTGTGGCCAGCTGGGTCCCTCCGTCCCCACCCATAGCCCTGGAACTGGGTGTGGGCGCTGTGGCCTGGGGTACAGAAGAAGATTTACGGGAGATTTTCCCTCCTTGCAGCCAGAGAGCCCGGCTCCCCACAGCTCACTAATTACTGTGCCCTTGAGCAAAACGTTAATCTAAAAACATAAAATGACAATGACTCCCTGACATAACCAGAAGAAACTGGAGTGCAGGCGGGCGGCGGCCAGGGGTCAGCCGCCTCCATCTCGGGACACAGGGCCGAGACTCCCGGCAGCTGCTTCCGAGCCCCACAGAGCCCTCCAGGCTGCGGCCCCGGGTGGCTCCCTTGAGCTCAGGTTGCCCCCGGAGAGCCAGGGAGGGGGAGCTGCCACCTTTTATGGCCCGGCCTCATAGTCACACAGCCACCAGTCAAGGCACTCAAAGAGACTGAGCCAGGTCCACTGGGAGGAAATCAAGACTCATCCAGCAGCGCCTCAACACAGCCCCTGAGAAGCCAGGATCCTTCCCTCTTTCTATTCTGCAGCTTTGTTCTGTGCTTGGCTAGTGGGCCTCATGGTCACAAAATGGCTGCTGATGAGCCGGAATTTTAGACAAATGTATCAAGATGTGAAGGAAGAGAGAATTGTCAGGAACTTGTATCCCTCTGTCCTCAGCATTCTTGCGAAATATAAAATACAGTACGTGCATGAGGATGTACAAATCAGCCGTCACGGGCCTGTGTGCTGACATCCCTCCATGGGTGTCCGCTGTGTCAGCCAGCATAGCTGCAGAGAGGCCCTGTCCTACGCTGTGTGCCATGTCACTGGGAGGCCCCGCGGTTCGGCTGTGTGCTGTCCTGTGGGTCCAGGATGGAACCAAGCAGTGTCTCACAAGGCAGCTCCTCGTGGATTCCTGGAGACTCTGATGTGTGAGCGGCTGGAGCTTGGGGCTGAGGCTGGGCCAGCCAGGTTCAGCCCTGAAGAAACCCAAGCGGATGACACCATGGCCGCCAGCATTTCCAGCTCACCTGTCCACTGGGATCTACGTATTTACGTTGGACAATGGAAATGTGCTTATCCCAAAGGGGTCAGAAAAGACTTTTGAGTTTAAAGAACATGCCTGGGATCCCAGCTGCTCAGAAGGCTGAGGCAGGAGGATTCTAATTTTGAAGGCAGCTTGGGCAATTTAGCAAAACCTTGTCTCAAAATTTTAAAAAGGGCTGGGAGTATGGCTCAGTGGGAGTGATCCTGGGTTCAATACTCAGCACCAAATATACACTGGGAAAAAAGGCAGGGAGGAAGGAAGGAAGGACAGACAAACGAATGTACGCAAAGTAAACTAAGGCACAGAAAGACAAATCCCAAACGCCACGCTTACAGGGCATCTTAGTCACGCCCGCCACGCTGGGCATCGTGCCTGACACCCACAACCCCAGTGAGCAGCAGGTTATTCGGCTCACAGTTTGGGTGGGTTTAGGCCCTGTGGTTTTAGTCCAAGGCAGCGACAGCTCGGCAGAAGCCCTGGCAGAGGAAAGCCGCTCAGCTCGTGGTGGCCAGGAAGCAGGGACAGCAGGGAGGAGCCAGGGACAAGAGCGCTCCCTTCCAAGCAGGGCAT